ATCTATAGATTTGATAATAAAGATTTTCTTTTAAAATACCAAGCTTGTATCTGTATATACAGAGATCTTCAATCAATCATAGATCTTACTATAAAAGCTTATATACTAGCTATCAGAGATCTCTGAATCTTGTTAACTCTAATAGCAGTATTTAATCTAGATACAGAATAGCTAGATAAAATCAATATCTTCATTAATAATAATATTAATAAGCTAGTATATATGAAACTATCTGATGAATGATGAAAGTTGAAGAGAGTGTAAAATTTGAAGTATATAAATTATATACTAAAACTTCTATAAGCACTATATGAATTACACAGATCATCTCTTCTCTGATTAAAAGAACTATCTTTAATATTGAGAATACTAGACTTCATCTCTATATCAGAGAATTGATGTCTCTTCTTTAATAATCAATTAATTATCTTCTTCTATATGAATAATATCATCATTCTATCATAATGAGAAGATTTAAAAGAAAGAGATCAACTAATCAAAGATCTTAAAAATATCTATGAGATTTGACAGATGAGAGATTTGAAATGATTTCTCAACATACAAATAATATCTAATTATCTCAACTTAAAGCTCTAACTATGTCAGAATATCTATATTATTAAAATAGTTGATATATATCATCTTACACACATCTGTAAGATATATATCTTACTAACTAATACTCTGTTAGAACATTTTAATAAGTCAGTTATATTCATAAAAATTCATTGTTATCAATAATGTGTTGACTTCTATATCTACTCAGCAGTGATGACTCACTCTGATATTATATATACAGTGAATAAATGTCACGCCCCTGGCCGCGCCAAGGCCCCGCTGCGGTTCCATACGGCCCATCGCTTCCATGCGGATGATTCCATCCATCCCGCAGGCCATTCAAACCGGTTTCCAACCACCTTATGACATCATTCAGATATATCATAGAAAGATTCAATTGATGAATATGAGAACCTCACTTCTATATGAGGTCAGCAGATTACTCTTTCTTGATAATAAGACACTGCTGAGATATCACTCTGACTATTCTCACTTATGAAATGAGAGAAGAGTATCTGCTCATTGTCTATATAGAATAGCTAGATGCTGGCTTCTTATCAAAGAAGTCAGTGATTCATCTTTTACTTCTACTGAAATATATATAAGAGTTACTGCATATCTTATACAATCTTCTTAGTATACTAAGTATCATATCTGTGATATTCTCACAATAACCCTGTAGTCTATGAGCTCACTATTCAAGCAAGATAGTCAAGCTCATTTATACAGCTTCTTAAACAACTATCTCTACATAATACTGCTGACTAGTTATCACTGCAGTTCTGTTATATTACAATTCAAATCACTTAATCTGATTATATATTTGAATCAGTCAAGCTCTAACAGACTGATATGATCTCATGCATCTGTGTGAGAACTGATCTGACTTCATTCTCTGAGAGAAATACTACATCATTCTCTAGAGTATATACATCTCTATCTTAGCAGAAATCTGAGATTTCTGAACTCATCACATATTTTAACATGAGCTCTTCAATCACTCTGTCACTGCTGCAGCCTCTACATACCTACATCTATCATAAGAATAGAGAGATTAAGATTGAAGATTCTCTGAGATATAAAAGAAACATCTTGTCTGAATTTCACAGCTTTATCTGTATTCTTGAATGAAAATTCCACCTTAACTTAAGCCAGTATAATACTCATAAGATATAAGTTATATACACTTAGACTGGCCGCCGGGACCATGAATTTCACATTTGGTCCCATTTGATCTGGTCCCATACATTTCTTGGCGTGAGTCCCACCAGGACCAAGCCTCAAAAAAATCTGAAAATGGACCATTTCTGAGAGAAATGATGTGAAAAATGACCAGATTTAATTCAAAAACAGTGAAATGAAAGTAATTTTCCAGAATAAACTGTGAAAGATGATCATTCTTTCAAAATCAGAATGAGACTGAGACTGAAGGTCAAAATCAGTCCCATTCAGTTCATTCAGTGATTGCTTATATAATCAGAATTTGATAACAATTATTGATAACACTCATGAAACAACTAAATACATTCTTGTGCAAGTTTATTCTTCACTTTCTCATGAAAACTACACTTCTCTGATATACTGTAATCAGAGGTATTAAACTGTCTGATAATTCTATGTTTTACAATCATGAGTTTCTTGATTATTTCTTCTTGTAATTGTTCCCAGTGATAGTGATAAATATCTTAACTTGAGTTGAACTTTTGCTTCATTCTCACCTCTGTCAATGAAATTGTCAGAATATCACACATCATCAGTGCAACAGTTGAATATGTACTCTCAACAATTTTTCATAACTCTAGAATTGATTTGATGTGTAAATTCATCAGATCATCTTGAAGATAGCAGTCAAATTCAGTTTTACAAGCATGTAGTTTTGCCTGATTTTCAGTTGTAATTAATGTATGTAAGTTCTGTTTCAAAGTTAGTATTATAGTTCTATGTGATATGAAGTGTTATCAAAAATTGTTACTTACTAGAGAATTGTATTTCACTGTCTTCACATCTCAAACATCTGCTCATTCAAATCTCTGATAGTTAACATTGTAGTAGTCTCAGGCTAATTTGACATATGAGTCTCATTTCTCCTCTGTTCAATCTTGAGAAGTGTAGATATTAACTCAATGAGAGAGATCTAGTAGAGCTGCTACAGCATAATACTCTGTAAAAGATTGTTTCATTTTACTGTAGTAATATGCCAGTTTATTCCTTGCAGCAACAATAGCCTGCACTATAGTATCATCTCAGACTGAATTTCTTTTTGAGTGATTCAACTGCTTCTCAAGATGAGTAAATAAACTGTTATACACTCACCAGACTGACTGCAGCATTGATGTACAAGTGATTGAGACTGTCTTTGTTATCTTATAAAACTGAAACAGTAAATCAATCACATATTTCAACTGAGTTCACTTCATATTAGAAAGTTTCAATATCTGAATCTTTTCCTGATCAGAGTGTTGCACTCAATAATCAATCATCTGACACAATCAAAGAGTCTGAACAGTCATCTCATATGTTGAACTTCACTGTGTTCTAACATTCTGTATCATATTCAGTGATGTGACTGATTTATTTATTTGTTGAATATCATGAAATCATTGTTATTATTTAGAAGAGATACAAATTGCATTAGTAATGTTTCAAATCTATGATATTTAAATTATTAGTCAATCTATTCAAAATTAACAGTAGCATTATCAAAAAGTATTATCAAAAAGCAATATCAAAAAGTGTTATCAAAAAACATTATCTTTTGTAAAGTGAATGCAAAAGTTACTTGAGTAATCACTTTCATCTCATTCTCATTTCAAGAACCAGTCATCTCATTATTCTTCATCTTGATATTAAGATTCTTTATCAGTGTTTGCATCACAAGTTGAACCACATGAGTAATACAGAGAATATGACCTTGTTTATCATTTCAGAAATGCAAAGCCAATTTTTGCTTCAAGCTCTTCATCATAGTATAGTTATTCACAGTATTATCAGTTGTAATTGCAAGAAGACTGAGACTAATATCTCAATAGTCATTTTTAATCACAGTCATTAATATCTCTGTCATATAATCCCCAGTATGACTACTGATCAATAATTTAAATTCAATTAATGTCTCTCAATAAGTTCAGTTCTCATCAATGTAATAACATGTAACTCTCATAAATGCAAGATTATTTGTACTAGTTCATGCATTCACTGTGAGAGACACTCTTCAATGATTCTTCAACTCTGATTCTAGATATTGTATATTGACTTTGTAGTGTATCTCAAGGTTGAACTGAAGACAGAATCAATGTAGAATATGAAGATTTGAATTAAGCATTTGAAGAAGTGTTCAGAATTCAGGGTTTTCAATTGATCAAAGAGAAAGATTCAGAGATATATATATGTGAAGTAATTATTTATAAAAGTTATCAGATGAGAGTTGTGAAATCAGAGTACTGATACAGAGTCATTTTCACATGATTTTCTTCAAATTAGAAAGTTAGTATTATCAAAAATCATTATCTGATAGAGTAACTTACCAGCTCAGTAGTAATTTTCTAATTATTTTTCTTTTATTGTCTGCATTCTGATAACTTCAGATGTTGAGAAATTTCTTCAGAGCTATGATCAGTTTATGATAAATGTTTCTGAATGAAGTTACAGTGATTGCAGCAGAGAGATGACTCTTCAGTAATCTGCAATACAATCTATTGATAATTATTCCATAGTTCATCTCAATATTTGTGTTGAGTTTTTCATAAATTTCATGACCTGGAATCAGATATGAAGAATGAAGTGATTATTTATTATAATTGAAAGAGAGCATTCTGTGTTGAATTGTAAATAACATAGACTTTGTGATTCACAGTGATTTCTTGAAGAGTTTGTGAATCTTCAATAGAAGTAAAAGAAGTGAAAGAAGTGAATTCAGAAGATATAATAATAATTTGAGAAAGATAATAATTTATTTTCAATAACTGATCACTGATGTGTGTAAGAAGAATTAATATAAGAGAAAATAATCTTATTTCTTAGCTTAGTTATAATTTTAGTACTAACTCAGATTGAATATCATCAATGTATAAAAGTAAATAAACAATCTTGAATAATCTCTATCATATTTCTTGAAATATATTAATATTGTGAAAGAGAGTGTTACTAAATTACATTATCAGATGATATCATTAAAAATATATTAATATTATAAATATTAATATTGAAAAAATGTTGCTACTTATACATTATAGTGATTTGTGAATTATGATAGTTAAATATATATATATATATATATATTGTTCCTGACTTGATTACAACTTGTACAATAATTTTTAAAAACTTAAAATTAATTTCAATTATTAATAATTATGAACTTACAACTAACTAATATAAAAAGAAAAAAACTTTTTCTACTCATTATCTTTCTTCTCTTTCTCATTATTCTTATCATTCTTTATAATTCACTTCTCATTCTTCTTCTTCTCCTTCTTCTCCTCATCTGAGATGATAATCACCTCAAAATCTCTCTTCCCTGCCTTCTCAGGGGAGGGTTTCCACTGCTTCTTCTCAGCCAGGTCAACCTGTGTCTCAAAATCCCGCATTTCCTGGTCTGCTGTCTCAGGTTCCATCTCAGTGATAAGCAGATTGGCATACTCAGAGAGCAGGGCTGTCTTCTCAATGTTCTGAATTATGAAGTGCATTTAAGATCTGAACAAGGTCTCAATTCTCTCCTTCTCTGTCAGCTTCTGCTAATCAATTAGAGAACAGAAGTGTTATCAAAAATTATTATCTCTCAATAAATAAAAAACTTATCAGTTTTGACTTCTTTATCTCTTACTTCAATACTCTCTTAATCTTCTTCTACTACTGCTTATTTACAGTAATACTCTTCTTCTCTCTTTCTCTCTTCATCTTAGTCTCAAATCATTCTTGAGACTTCTTCTGATTTCATTACTGCTGTATGAGACTCTTCACTGTCTTCTTCTTCAATCTCTCACAGACAGTGTCATCTGTATTATTTCTATACTTAGTTCAGTCTAAATCTATCAGAAGTATTACTTAAAATTGTTATCATTCTACTCTCTTACAGAGTCTCTTCAAGATATTATAACATGCCTTGCAATCTGTCTTCTCTCACTTGAATGTCTTCTTCTTCTCTTTCTTCAATCTGTGACAGTGCTCACGCGCCTTGATGGTCCGCAGGACCACAGAATATTTGAAGGGAAATGACATGATTGATTTCAGTGAGCGTTGAAGAGAGATGAAGGCAGAAGAGGCGGCCAGAAATGATATAATAATAATGATAATGATGATAGTGATAATAGTAATGATAATGATGATAATGATAATGATGATAGTGATAATAATAATGATAATGATGATGATAATGATGATGATAATAATGATGATGATGAAAGAGAAAGTGCATTGAAATATATTACTGACTTATCAAATATAAAGAGACTCAAAGAAAATATTAACAGCTTTCAGTGATGTACAGAAATAGCTACAGTGTTACATAGCAATATTATCTTCATTCAATGCATGCACTGTTGATATTCTTTATATACAGTTATCATATAATCTGTATCAGAGATACATGCAGAAAACAGATCTTTGTTGCTAGGGCAAATGATTGCAGCAATTCTCTGTTTTCATATCATAAAGATAAGTTGTTCTCATTTCTTTCTTCTCTCTTTTCTCTTATTCAATCAATCACTAATTCCAAGCTGATATGAAAACTATTAAAACACTCTCAGAAACCCTCAAATTGAAGAGTATAGACTAATCAAATTTCAAATGCAGAAGAAATCAAATTATCTTCTATCTTCTACAGATTCAATTACCCATTCTCTTTCAAATAAAACAGCAGTCATGTCCTCCCCCCCCCCTCTCAATCAAATGAAACATGGCCCGCGAAAAGCGAGTACCACGCCAGGCCATAATGACCAACACGGCCCCAGCACACAGGGCTGCATATGCGCAGTGCATGCTGGACTGGGAGACTGCATGAGTTGCAAATCAGTGACAGCATCCCAGAGAGAGCTGTGCAGTGTGAGAAAGCTGCAACTCTCAGCTACATATGCAGAGAATGAATCACTGCAGTAAGTGCATGTGCATTGAAGTAATGCTTTTTGATAACACTCAGTTTCTGATATGATGAAAATAGAGTCTCTCTGTGAGATCTGTTTCTACCAGAAGTCTGAGAATCTTATATTTCTCAAGACCATCTTCACGCGCCTTGTCTGTGAAATCAATAAGAGAAATCATCAATTCCAGCATTCTGCTCTTGATATCATTCAAGTGACAGCAGAGTTCACTCTGATCACACTTTTTAAGTGTATATTTTCTAATTATTCACATTTATATAGATATATACTGATTATTTGTTAGATGATGTTAAGACAATGACTTATTATAACTGTGTTACTCTCACTGTGAGAGATACACAGTTAATAATGAATATTGTGAAGACTCTGAGAAGTGAGTATTTTAAAGATGCTGCAGCTCTGTGACCTTGATTTTTTTTTATTTTTATTTTTTATTTTTTTCTTTTTCTTTTATTTTTTTTTTTTAATTTTCTTTCTCTTTCTATCTCTTTTTTTCTTTCTCTTCTTTTTTTCTTTCTCTTTTTTTGTTTTTTTTTTTTTTTTGTTTTGATTTTTTCTTATTATTTTGTTTTTTGTTTTTTTGTTATTTTTTGTAGTGTACATTTTTTTTTTTTAATTAAAATGATATTAATTATAATCTGTGTTTAGAAAAGTAATAATATTTAATAACACTCTCTATTGAATTTTCAACAAATGAGCACTATGTTATAATATTATGTAAGTGAGAAATGATTTCATGATCTCATTTAATGTCATTTTCAATAATGAGATCAGAATGAAAATGTGACTAAGAATTCAAACATATTCTTTATCTGAGACTAGATTTTTATTTGAAAAGTGAATCTGAGACCTTTAATATTTGAAATAATAGAATTTGAGATCAATGTAATGAACACAAATCATGATCAGAAGTAATGCTTTTAGGCAATGTGATAACAGTAAAGTTTGATTCTGGTCTCAGACACGGTCACACGGTCAGTCTAATCATGACTTGAAAAAAATGAGAAAGTGATTCTATTTGATTTCATTTAGTCTCATTCTTGGCATAAAGTTACTATTTTTAGACATTTTAAGGTTTTTTTTAGACTATTTTTAATTTTTTAAAAAGTAATGCTTTTTGATAACACTCAAATGAGATTTAAAGTCATTTAAAGCAATAAAAATAATTTAAATTGAGAAGTGAAAATCATGCTCTCATTTGAAAAATGTGATAAGAGTAGACAGTAAGTCTCACTGAAATAGTATGAAACTACTATCTAATGTTAAAACTGTGTAATGAGATCAGTTAAATTAATAATGAGACTATTAAAAATTCTGATTCTGGTCTCAGACACAGTCACACAGTCAGTCTACTTCTTATAAATTAATTTATAGTTACAGATAAAAATTACTTAATACAATATTAAACTCATAAATATTTATAACTTTAATGAGAAAAAATTTCTATTAGAACTTGTTCATACTCTTAAATATATTATATTAACTACTTCACTCAAATCAGATTATATAATAGATATCAGTTAGAATAACAGTTGAGAATTTAAAATTGTGATTCGGAAGAACGTACGACCGTCGGATAATAACGCGGCCGCTTCCGAACTACTAGCGTACGAATGTAAAGGGGGCCCTAGCGGCCACTAATTAATTTAGTGTATGAGATTCAATATATAAGAAGCCGGCGTACGCCTGTAATCATACACTGGCTTAAGCAACCTTTGAATCACATCTGATAGCATGTCTAAAAACTGGTGAGAAGCGCAGGCTCCTCCAGAGTGTGATAATTCCATCTACAAAGTGATTTGTAGTTATCATGTCAGTGTGGTCCTAGAACACCTCAAAAGATAGTGTACAAAGAACAGTGAGTGAAAGAGCATTCAATTGATACTGCTTCACTTGTTGAGAGAAAACTCCATACTCAGGTGAATGCCACATATGCGAATGAATGAGGTGTGAGAAAAGGAATGAAAGTAGTGAACCAGATTCAAAGAAGATCACTCTTCACTCAAAGAGATAAAAGAGAGAGGTGGCCATCACTGAAGTTGTATAATGATAACAGTGATAACAATAGACATCATACAATCAACAAGAAACCACTGAAATGAATATCTTCTCTAGTTAATACAAACAATACTCTTCTCTGCTATCTGAATCAGAAGATATGCAGAACCTCTCAGAGGGTTTACTCAAAGCAGTAAGAAAAGCAGCTAAGACTGCTGAATCAGAATCAAAGCTTCATACATATACAAGAATTCTAAATAAGATCAAGGCCTTGCATACACAGTAACAGGCTGAGATGAAAGCTAAACAACAATTGACATTTGCTGCAGATCAAGCATTCACTATGAAGAGCTTCACTGACACAATCATCATCATTAATAAGAATAGAGAAAACCAGATCTTAGATCTGCAGCAGGAGATTGAACATTTACACAGATAGATGACTATGTCAAACCTGAAGATCTCATTACAATCATTTACAACCTCTTCAGAAGTGTACACATCATTGAAGACTGCTACACAGAATGAGAATCTGAGCATGAAATACATCAAGCTGAGAGATCTGTCAGAGCTACTAAGCTTCAATAGCAACTGAAAAAATGATGCTGTAATCAGCTGACTAAGTCAGATGTGATTATATTATTGAATTGAACATGAACTCACAGACAGATAGTTAACAGAATTTCAACAAGTCTTAAGATCTGCCATGTTTCTATGCAGAAAAGTGAAATCATTATAAATGACTGATAAAAAGATAAATCTCACAGACTCAGAGTGATATTCATTCTCATAAATATGAAATGAGTTTTTCAAATAAATCTTGCATAACTTTGAGAAAGTGAATATATGAGATAAGTGTTACAAACACTTCACTGAGTATAGATAAGTGAGTAATCTTACATTATACTTCACACACTTCAGCTTATACTATCTTGTATTAAATGAAGAGCTTTCAACATCTTTCTGTTTACAGATCTTTATTCATGATCTTACATCTGAGTTGAGAGCAGAATGAAAATACTTAATCTCACAGTCAGGTACAGTGAAGAAAGCATACAACATTCTCATTATACAGAAATAAGCAAGTCAATTGTAATAGAAAATACTGTAATCAAGTATATCTCAGTGAAGAACAGATAATCAGACTTCTATGACATAAGTCACACACTCAGATGTGATGAATCTAGATCTGAATGTCATCACTAAAGCACTGAATCCTCTGAAAAAGAAATTCCCTGAGTGAAAACCTTGATGTTATGAGTATCAAGCTTGCTTCAACTGTAGATATCAAAATCATGATGTAAAAGATTGCACTCAGCATGCACAGTCAAGAGAAGTAAGAGAGTCAAAAAACTAGCAGAATCAGTGAGCTCAGAGACACTCACTGATATTCTATAAAAAGTCTTCAAAGTGAAAGAGATGCCTGTGTTAGATGATTCTCTGAATTCTGTAAATATCAAGAGAAAGCAGGCTTCTGACTGAGATGCAGGTGAGAATGAAGTGAATGCCTATCTCAATGTCTTGAGACCTGAAATATTAATGTATAGAGAGCACTTGAGTAAGAATTAAGAGATGATTGCAAAAGTGTTAGC